AGTTGTTTAGTGCCTCTCTGAATTTTTGAGGCTGGCTTTGAACCTGGAATCCTCCTGTCTTCACTTCTGGAGCCTCTGGGTTTACAGTCCTCTGCCACTGTTGGAGGCCCATCTCTCAGAATTTGTTTGCTAATTTTCTATTCACACTTTTTGTCTGTTAGTCAGCATTTAAATAGTTTAAATAATAAAACATTTGTATACAGTGTTCACTGCCCTCATGAATGTGCAGAGGATTCATAGCACTGGGATTCCTTCAGGACCCCATGGATAGCCTCCAAAATCTCTGAATAGGAAATCCTAGAGTTGAGCTGGAGCCTAGTGATTAGAACTTGGTTCAGAGGAGTTTCACAGAGTACTGGTTCCTTGGATTGTCAAAAACTCCCCTAGAATAGCGAAGAACCCAGAAATAAAAAAGAGTTAATTAGAGATTGACTTATTAGATCAGATTGACTAATTAGATTAGATAGATTTACTAGATTAAGTTAGATTGACTTATTAGATGAGATTGACTTATTAGATTAGATTGATTTATTAGATTTGATTGGTTAATTTCCTTTGATATGATCACTAAATATTTTTTTTATTTTCTCCCTTCTTAGGTAATAGGAAAGAAAGCATTAACTGAATTATGCTAAAATAAGAATAGTTGGATAATATCATGATTCAGAGATTATTAAGAGATGAAGAATTTTTTAATGGTCAATAGCCCTGTGTAATGGCACACACTGTAACTTTAGCAGCCTAGGGAGCTGAGGAAGAAGGATCACAAGCCAGCCTCAGTAAATTAGCAAGGACCTAAATAATGTAATGAGACTCATGTCAAAACAAAAAAGAAAGAGGTGGGTATGATTTTTTTTGTGTTTAAGCACCTTTGAATTTGATGTCTACTTAAAAAAATTGTTACTCAATAAGTTGCAGAGAAAAAAAATGAAGCAGCATAAATTTGAATAGAAATCACTTGTGTTTTTACCATTTTATATTGCTACTAATATTACCTGTATTATTCCTTTTTTTTCCAAAATTCATACCCTCTTTATTGTTGCTTTTCTGTCTTTCATTCTGTGCAGTCACCATTTTCATATTTCCAAAATGATATCCATAGTTTATGTGAGGGGGCAGCAAGTTACTAGAAATTAAAGCAAGAGGTACTTTACTACTGAGTCACATCCTGAGCCCTTTTTATTTTTTGAGATAGTGTGTCTTGCTACGTTGCTTATGGCCTCTCTAAGTTGCTGAGCCTGGCCTCAAAGTTAGACTCTTCCTGTTTGGACTCCTGAGTTGGTTGCATTGCAGGCATGTACCACCATCCCCAGTTTCATGTGTTCTCTTTGCACAGAATATGGTTCCAGGATGAGCAAATTATAACTTTTTTTTTTCCTCTGGTGTGGAGAAACCATTTGCATTGTCAAATTTGCTGGGCAGATGATTTCATATTTTTGGACCAGATGGACATAATATGCACATCTGTCTCTGCTCTTCATTCCAAATGTTGACTCAATGCATGCAGTAACAAGGACATCACTCTGGAGATCCCTGCATTTTCATTGTCAAGGACTTTTCCTCTAGTTAGCAAGCTACCTTTAATAAATATTTTAGGCATGGGGAAAAAAGGTTCTATTATCAACTGACTATCTGGAATATACAAGACTATATATCTGAATAATTGTTGAAAGCTTGTTTAATAAAATATGCTTCAAGGCGGGGTTGTGGCTCAGTGGTAGAGTACTCCCCTAGCACAGGCAAGGCCCTGGGTTTGTTCCTCAGCACCACATAAAAGAGGAAGACTGACCTGGGAAGGACAATCTTACAATTAATGCAAAAGTGCTTCAGGATCCAGAGACCCCATGGAGGTGACAGCAGAGAAGAAGAGGGTTGGGAGATGGGCGTCCTACCACTGACATGTTATGAGTTCCACCTTCACAGTCAATGTCCAGGCCTCAGGATCTCTCACAGGCACAAGCCTATTGTTGTGTGTCTATTAATATTTTTCAGTGCTGTTTGCAAGCTCTGCTACTGAAAAGATTGCTATCCTTTTGTATATTCCTTTAAGATTTTTAAATCTTTATTGGAACAAGGTTTAACCCAGACTTAACTATTAACCATTTCTGAGGCAAATATTTTCTGTGTAGTCTACCTTTTATCCTATAAAAGTTATGAATATTTTCTAATAATATATATTATTTGGTTAAAAGATACTGTAGTATACCAAGGAAAGGATTGATAGTAGAAAAATTAGTAAAGCAATAGAAAAAAATTCTTGGAAGCATTTATAAAAATCATGGTCCCCAGGAAAGATTAGTTTTGCCTTTGGAATCGAAGATAATTTGTTAAAAGTACAATTGTTAAAACTTAATACAATCATTATCCTGAAATATACAAAACAGTAAAATAAAAGGTTTAGAGATCGGGTAACGATTTCCATGTATCCCAAAAATGTAGCACAGTCAGAGCTAAATCATTAATTGAAGAATGCATAAGAAAATGGCGGCATCCATGTTAAATTCAATTATCAAGTTTTGGGAAAGTTGGGACAAAAACTATTTTTTTTTAAAGTATTCCTTGCCACTGTATACACTACTGTAATTTTGTTGTTGTTGTTGTTGTTACATTGCAATTTGTGTAAATAGTTAAAGAAATTTTGGGACACTTTCTTGCGAACAGGCTCTAGACTCAGAAAACATGGCTGTCAACACATGCTTTTACTTTACAACTTGTACCCATAGCACCAGGCTCATAATTTTGACTACTAACCTTTCAATGGGATCTTTTTAAATTTCAACAGATATTTCATATTTGTGGAGCCAAAGTAAGAAAACAAGTTGAGGCCCATATATGGAATGTGCACATGTTTGAAATGTGTAACTAGCTAGTAAAATGATAATGAAATTTTTTATTGTTCTATTTTGAGACATATTATATACTCTCATAACAAGAAAATCTTGCCTAGAGTTTGCCAAGGAATAGTGTGCCCTGTGTGCTGTGGAAGAAAAGGAAGAAAAAGCTGGGTAGCCCCTGGCTCAGGCAGGGAACTAGGGACTCAAGACATTATGAGGAAATTTAGGAGCCAGAAAATCTTACAAACTTCTATGCCAGTGTGATCAATGTGGTTACACATGGTGTGTCTGGAGTGTCAGGATGTTTCAGGAAGTGTGTGGGAGGTGGTGCTTGTAAAGGTTTGTTGATCAAGATTAGCCAAAGTGCTAAATCAATCTTCTCTATTTTGAAATTAAAAACCCATCCTAGCCTAATCTATTTTACTAACCTAATCACTTATACTATCATAATGACTCATACTAATTCCTATTGGAAGCTTCATGAAATCTAATCACTTGGAGAACAGGGTGTGGTCTTCAGCGCCTCAATAAATGGAAACTGCAGGAGGAGCTAACCTCATTCCTCTCCAGATCAGAGTAGTTTTGGAACTCAACTAGCTTTGGAGACCCCTGAAAAATACTGGTTCTACTGTGTGAAGCGCTCATCCCCAGACTTCATATCACCTCTACAGCAAGCATTGGTGAGACGATAGCCACATTCCTTAGGTGAGTATGTAATTTACAAAGGAGATGTACCTATTATTATTATTTGTTTTTTGTACAGCAATTGGACCCAAGGGTGCTTAGCCATTGAGTCATATTGCCAGGCTCTTTTGTATGTTTTATTTTGAGAAAAGGTTTCACTGCATTGCTGAGTTTGTCTTTGAACTTTTGATATGCCTGCCTCAGGTTCAGGTGTGACTGGGATTACAGGCATGCACCACCATACCCTGTGCAACTATTTTCTGAAACAAACAAATCTTCAAAAATGTATAAATCTGTAAACTAAAATCATTTGAATGAATTGATGTTATTTGCTTAGTTTGGAAAAATACCTCCTTTTCTAGAAGCTATATAAATTAAATAAATTGGTCATCTAATCTTACTACATGATTTTTGCTTATTATTTTTTGTATTCCTTGGTTTGTGCATATGAATAGTAAGGATAAAAAAACTGCCAGATGTCTTATAGTTTTGTATTTGGTGTAGATTTTATAAATTGGTTAGGAACATTTTGTTCTGTAAACAGGTAATACATGTATTATTTACTACTTACAAATAATGCAAAGGTATTCTCAAAATATAACTAAATAGTTCATAAAATGATTAGGAAAGATTCCTCTTGGTTGTGGTAATATCATCTGATTAGAGGTTGGTTTATTAACTTAAATTCTAAAAAAGCAAGGAAATGTATAGGCCTGCAGGAAAGTGACACTGGCTATCAGAAAGAAACCTGAGTATAAGGGGAAAGGCAATTTGTAATCATGTAATGTAGAAATTAGGACCCCAATTTTTAGCTTTGACAAAATAAATTTTTTTACATGATAATAATTTTTTTTACAATGTACTTGGGGGAATATTTTAAAGGACTGTAAGCTATTACCATTCCCATTTTCTTAATTATTGATCCGTTTGAATTCAGGCATGTAGATAATAGAAACAGAGATTCAACAGTTTAGTATATTCAAATATAAAGATGCTGGATGAAATATCCAATTTGACAAAGTTCACTTTAGTCTTTATTAATTTTTATATATTCAGAAGTTGATTTTGGTAGGGATCCATTTCAGACAACAAAGACATCACAGGGAAATTTTGGTCATATTTATTTATTTATTTATTTTCATTCTTATCAATGGATTACAAGAAAGATATTTTCTGGATTATACGTGAAAGAATACATGCAAATGAGTGGCATTGTGCACTGCATTTTATTAATGTGTTTTTAAAACTTACGATTTATTTATAAGGATGTAACCCTTAAACATGATAACCTTAATTTGCTAGACAATATCTGAAACAATCAATACACTAGAGAATTATTGGTGATTGAATTACCATTATTGATTAAGAAGATAATGTGTTAGCTGTTACCTTATTTTAATGTTGATCAAAAATTTGTGTTCTGCATCTCCATCTCCGCCAACCAGCTCCAGCCTGCACCACTGCCGCCGCCACTGCTCAGCCATGGGAGCCGTGACTGAAGACAAAGTGATACGGAAGCGTCTCCTTATTGATGGAGATGGTGATGGAGATGATCGAAGAATTAATTTGCTAGTGAAAAGATTCATTAAGTGGTGCAACTCTGGATCCCAGGAGGAAGGATATAGCCAGTACCAATGGATGCTGAGTACACTATCTCATTGTGAATTTTCAATGGGCAAAACTTTGCTGGTGAATGACAAAAATCTCAGAGAAATGGAAAATTATGAAAAAATTTACAAAGAAATAGAATGTAGCATAGCTGGAGCTCATGAAAAAATTGCTGAGTGCAAAAAGCAGATTCTTCAAGCAAAACGAATACGAAAAAATCGCGAAGAATATGATGCTTTGGCAAAAGTGATCCAGCATCATCCAGACAGGCATGAGACTTTAAAAGAATTAGAGGTTCTTGGAAAAGAATTAGAGCATCTTTCACATATTAAAGAAAGCATTGAAGATAAGCTAGAATCCACACGAAAACAGTTTCATGTTCTTCTTAGTACTATCCATGAACTTCAGCAAACATTGTAAAATCATGTAAAGCTCTCAGAAGTAGAAGAAGCTCAAGAAACAAGCATGGAAGCAGATCCTAAGCCATAGGCAGGCAAATCACTGTTCCCTCAAAATATTGAAAGAACTACACAGTCTTAGTGTGTTTAGAATTTGTTGTGCTCTTGACATATTTGAAATTTAGCTGGTGAAGTACTTTGCTATTAAATATTAATGCACACCTCATTTATATTTCTTCATACAAAGGAAAATGGCTTCAGTATAAATGTTTTTATTGAAATGCATTTTTCATTCTTAAAAAGTAGGAAACAACATCCAAAAATGTTTAATAAAATATCTTCAAGCGAAAAAAAAAATGTGTTCTGGCTACAACACTTACTAGTAAAAAAGTCAAAGGCTTTATCAAGATAGAATGATTACGAAGATAAAGACAATAATAAGGTTAAAGCTCAGGCCCATGCCCTTTACTTAACCAAGGCTAGAAATGAACATTAGGATTATTTCATTTCACTTCAGACTTCCATCCTGGAGTTATAGATTGAATCAAATGCCTAAAGGTCAAACAATTAGGGAAAAATTTTACCTCAACCAAATGGGAGTACAATTTATGGAGGGAGAATAGGGTTTGGCATAATACAATAGGTAATCTATTCAAATTATCTATTCTGATCTAAGTAGATGTGTGTATTGAATGAGAACTTGAATACAATTTTGTTCAGGCCTTTCTCTCTTCAAGAATAAATAAGAAAAATTTCCTAGTTTTCTTCCCTCAGAACAATGGAATCAGAAATCCCACAACCCTTCTAGAAAGAACTCACCTGCTCTATCTGCATGAAGTACCTTATGGACCCAGTCACCATAGGCTGTGGGCACAGCTTTTGTTGGCCCTGTCTCTGCCTTTCCTGGGAAGAAGCCCAAATTCCTGCCTGTTGCCATGTGTGCCAGAGGCCATCACAGCAGAGAGACTTCGAGCCAGATATTTGTGTGAAGAGGATGTCTTTACTTGCCAGACAAGCCAGTCTAAGGCAAATCCTGAGCTCCAAGGAACACATATGTGTGACTCATCAGGAGACAAAGAAGATCTTCTGTGAAGAAGACAAGAACCTGCCCTCTTTGCTTTGTTCCAACTCTCAGGAGCATAGGGGTCACAGACACTGTTCCATTGAGGAGGCTGCTGAGGAGTACCGGGTAAGTGATGGTCCTCATGACGATTAATCCAGTCTTTACCAAGGGCCTAATAGGAACCAGATACCATATAAGCATCAAGATAGAGATATCAATAGAATTTCTAAATATACCTGTCTTTGTGAGGCTAGCATTCCAATGGGAGGCCGATAAAGTCAACAAATATCATTTCAATCTATATTTAGCAGAATTAGGCTAAGACATCTTAAAGCCCCCATTTTCAGAAGGTCACTGGTGACCAAGAGTACATAAAAGATTATTATTATTATTATTATTATTATTATTATTATTATTATTATTATTATTATTATTTTGTACTGGGAATTTAACGCAGGGTTGCTTTACCACTGAGTCACATCCCTAGCCATTTTTATTTGTCATTTTTGAGATAAGCCCTCACTAAGATGCTTAGGGCCTTATGCTGAGGCTTGCCTTGAACTTCTGATCCTATGGACTTAGCCTTTCAAGTCACTGGCATTTACAGATATGCACCACCTTGACCAGCTGAAAGAGGCTTTTATATTGGAAATACATTTAGTAATACTAGATGAATATGAAGGAGATCAACAGGAGAGAAGCATTAGCAGATAAAATGATGAGGCAAGAAGCCTATCTGAAAAGTAGCCAACTACATAAAATTTCTTAGTCTGTTACATAATAGAAACTTAGGAGGTGAAACAGGCACACAGGTGTATTTTATTCTCACTGAAGTATTTTATTTTACATCCCTTGACTCTCTCCATCTGTTAGGGTCTGAAACGTGTATGTCTACTTGACATTTATAATTCCCTTACAGGAGAAGCTATTGAAGCAAATGAGATCGTTATGGTGAAAAAATCCAAGAAAATAAGAGAAATCTGAATGAGGAGAAAAGAAAAATTCTAACATGGGATGTAAGTATCAGATTTATTGCCTTAGGAAACAGCTTGAGACAGTTGTGCTACAAACTTCCCCTTTAAGAACATGTGAGGGGATGGGGATATGGCTCAAGCAGTAATGAGCTCGCCTGTCATGCGTGGGGCGCTGGGTTCGATCCTCAGCACCACATAAAATAAAGATGTTGTGGACAACAAAAACTGAAAAATAAATATTAAAAAAAACCTGAAAAATAAATATTAAAAAAATTCTCTCTCTCTCTCTCTTTAAAAAAAAAAAAAAGAACATGTGCGGAGGGCTCGGGCTGTAGCTCAGTGGCAGAATGCTTGCCTAACATTTACTGGGTCTTGGGTTCTATCTCTATGTAAGGCAAAATGAACTGAAGTCATCATGTGACCTAAGGGTCCTCTGTAGAACAACAGGAAAAATAAATTTGCCTTTCAATGTGAGTTCACACTTAGTCTTTCTAGACCCTGTATTAACAGCCACAAAAGAATGACATCAAAACAAAGCTCAGCAAATGGTAAGATGAAGGAACATACAGGGATTTGAAGACATTCAGTAAACATTAAGGAGCTCAGAGAAAATTTCTTAAATCTAAGATCAATCTGAGTTTTGACAGTTGAATCAGTATTGAAGACCTGTCATAGGTATTTAAGGCAGAAGCTGAGGTAGGAGACGAATTGTAGAAATTCAAGAGCATATAATTGTGCATTCAATGTATTTCTTGCTGATCAGGACAATGAGCTCTTGGAGATAGAAAGGAGGTGTGAACAGCAAAATGGGAAGTGCACCTGTGCTGCTGAAAAGATTGCACAGGAGCCAAACAGTATGGGTTCAAGGAGAAAAGAGAACATATTAAAAAGTTGGGGGGTGGGGAGACACAACACAAAGGACTGGTGAGTGGGAGTGGATACTGAGAGGAGATAGGCAATGAAATGAGGATTAATGCTCTTAATGTAACAGGGCAATATATAGCCTGCAACCTCAAGTAAGAAGGTAAAATTCAGAAGGGCCCTAATGCTTTTGAAACCTTAGGCTTTGATGCTTTAGGAAGACCTTATTGTATTGCTTTTAATCCTGAATGTAATATGCAATATTTCTGCAAGTTCTACATGGTCAGGTTATTGATGTGGGGAGATTTGAGATTAGAAACTAACATTAAATAAAAATCTCACATAAAGATAACAAAGCATCAATGTCAATGGTTTAAAAGTAGTCTTTCAGATTTGAAGGGTGTATAAAGGAATTACCTATTAAAGGGAATTTTCCAGGTGTCTCAGAAACGTGCTAAAGGCAAGCACTTTTGAAAAATTTTTGGATGGACACATTTTGAGGAAAAGTAGATTGCTCTTTTTATTAATAGAGGAAAATAAATTTTAAAAAATGTGGATTCTGAGAATTGGGACAACCCGAATTGAGGATATATATAGCTGATTGGTAGAGGATTGAGCCAAAGAGAAACAGGTGAGGGTTAAGGAACAAAGGAGGTTATAGTTGTCCTGAGTGTGTGACCCAGGAAATTCACATCTCTGCAGAGGTATGTACGTCATCAGGAAAACATGATCAGGACTGAGTACAGGAAGCTGTTCCTGGTCCTCTGGATGGAGAAACAACAGCATTTGTAGAGACTACAAAAGGAAGATGAAAATATTGTAGAGCAACTCAAGAGAAGTGAAGCTAAAATGGTTCAAAATGAGAAACACCTAAAAGGAATGTATGAGGAGCTGATGAGAATGTGCCATAAATCAGGGGAAAAGCTGCTCCAGGTAAAGACTTTGTTGGTTTTAAACTCCATCTTCTATACATCTTTAGTCTTCATTATTTCTTAAGTACTAAAAATATGTTTTGTCACCTTCCATACTTGTGGTGGAGGCCATTCCCCAAATGGGCATAATAAACTACTTCCTAACCATGAACAAGTTGTACAGAATTGTAAGAGTAGCATCTCCAGAGAATAATCTCTTATAAAATTCTGATTTATCTTATTTCTAATAACAACATTATTGTGGACATTTTATTTTTGTCTCAAATGAGCAATATTTGGGGAAAGATAACATTTCCTTGGCCATTGGCTTTGCATATCCTGAATTTAAGTTGTGTCTATTTTGCAATTCCTCAGCTGTTAGGAAAAAGTCCTTGGACAGACCTCTTGGCAGACAGCTGATGGTTACAGCACTGCCCACTTACTGTGGTATCCATGTCTTTTACTCACTTCTAGGGTTCCAAATGCATCAAAGATTTAGATGATATCTATGTGTTGTACTGGGATTATACTTTAGAAAGGAAAAGGAAATCCAATTTAAGGGGTTTGGGCATGGTTGTGATTGGTATTTTGGAAGAATTCTTATTTTTTTTCTCCTTACAGGATTTGGGAGACCTATTGACAATAAATTTGGCTTTCAATGTGAACTAAAATGATAGGAGGGCTGTGAAAGAGATCAATCTTTTTTCTAACAAAATAAAGCCATTATATATTAGATGAGGTTAAATAATAACACATAAACAAAGAGTAAGAATTATCTGTAAATACTTAAAATGACCCTCAATTAAGAAATGGAGATTCTGCCACAGACTCATGTGGAAAATGAACATTGACTGGCAGAGAAGAGGATAAGAATTCATCAAAGGTTAGAATATTGAGGAAAAAAAAATTTTTTTTTATCCATACCTGTCAAAGTGGTATCAATATTTCCATAATTAAAGAACATTTGAAAATTATATCATATATATATGAATATGCATAAGTTTAGTATATAGCACATTATCTAGTGTTCTCAAAAATTTTTGAATACAATTATGTGTGTGTGTGTGTTTTACTGTACATAATTTCTGCCCTTCAGAATTTGCTAGAAGTCAGCTACTTGCAATTTTAGGATTCAAAGTCATAAATATCTTTAGCTACATAGACTATTTTTTCCAGGTAGTAGATGAGTGAGGCAAGTACCTTTGAGATTCAGGGCACTGGGTGCATGAAAGCAAAAAGAAAAGAAGGAATAATACCCTAACAATGGCACAGTTGTAGA